CTCACACCATCCCGTCACCAGCTCGGCACCGAGCACACAGTGGGCCCGGGAAAGGCCCTCCGTCACTGGAATGCCTTTTGAAGGCACTTCCGTGACCGGGGTAAGCAGCATTAGGTGGGAAACTGAGGTGGCTGTGACGCTACATGATTCCCTCCCCTGTTTTTAAGAAAAGAAGACTGATTATTTGCACAGAGAAGATCAAAAAAGATATGCCTGACCCTGACCGGTGTGGCGCAGTTGGTTGGGTGTCATTCTGCTAAGTGAAAGGCCGCCGGTTCGATTCCCAGTCAGGGCTCGTATGAGAGTAAACTCATACGAGTTTACTCTCCCTCCCTTTCTCCCTCCCTTCTCCCCTCTCTAAAAATAAATAAATACATAAATAAATAAATAAATAAATAAATACCATCTTTTTAAAAAAAGAAAAAAAATATGCCCCAAATATTGCTATTTTTGATTTTCATTTTTTCTCCTCTATTGTTTCTAAATATTCTGTAATGAGTGTAACACTTTTGAAATAAGGGGGAAAATAAGATACATTTCTACAGAGACAACCCTTCTGCCTTCAGAAAGCTTGGAGCCCAGCAGGGGTGCCACTCGCTGTGTGTCTGCCCCTTTCCAGGGACGGGCTTCCGGGCTCCGCAGGCCACCCGCAGGGGCTCGCCGCCCACGGGGCATAGCTGGTGGGGAGCCCCGAGCGAACCAAAGGCTTAAGCCGGGACCCTCGGTGCCTCTGTCAGGCCTCACCTCAGCAGGCAGGCAGTGCCGGCACCAAGGCCCCGGAGAGGGTCGCTCCGAGGCCCAGTGGGTCTCAGAGCCTTGAGCCTGGGGGGAGGGTCTCATCTGAGGGACTCAAACGAGAGGCCCCAACTCTCGTTTGTGGGGAGCCTCCCACCCAGCCCAGCAACTCCTGATGACCCTGCAGGAAAAAGGAAGCAGGACCCTCTGCTCTCCCTGGTGCTGGTTTCCTGTCTGCCCGAGAGGTGAGTAATGTCCGCTCCCCACCCCCAGGCGCCCCTTCTGGAGGCCAGGCCTCACATTTTCCGCTCAGGAAGGGGCAGAGCAGGAGGCCTGGGGAAGCGCACCAAGGGGAAACGGAGGGAGTGGGCCCTCGCCCGGCGCTGCCTGCTGCAGCCGGGCCCTGGCCTCGCCTGCCTGGGTGCCCGCCCCCACTCACTTTCTCATTCGTTCACTCATTCGTTCATCAGACACCCCCCACCCCCACCCCTGCTCTGGGCCAGGCCCTGTGCTGGGCGTTAGGGGCCCGCTCTGGAGTCTGAAGAGGAGGCGGGGACCGGATGGCCCACTGGCGGTGGAACCACAGACTGATGTGCTGTTCAGTCCCAAGGCAGACCGCAGTGTCTGTGGACAAGGTCTCCACGGCTGGCTTCCCCCAGGCATCCTCCCTCCGCCCGAGCGAGCAGCCCCTGGGCCAGGGCGTTATTCCCGGCACCTGTGACGAGACCCGAGCGCTGTCTGGACTCAAAGGCCCGGGGAGTCTCAGGAGGCTCAGGGGTGGGTCCAGAGCGGGCTCAGCTGTGTGTGGGCAGCACGGGGCGGGTCCCTCTGGGCCCCTGCAAAGGCCAGGCTCCGAGTGTGTGTGGGGAGCCTCCTCTGGCTGCCAGGCTCCCCTGCCCATTCCTGGGCAGTATAGGAACAACTATTCATTGAGACCTGGTCCCTAGAACCTCACACATGGCTCTGGCGCCTGCCAAGGAGGAAGAGGGCAGCGTCAGTGCCTCCTGACTCTGGCCACATTGCCCAAATCCACTCCCTGGCCCTGTCACCTCCCGGGACATGAGACAAGGGTGATGTGCTTACTCATGGCAGCTATGGCCCCCAGTGAGGAAGTGTCTTGCCAGTGGTGCCCCCCGCCAGGCGGCTGTGATTCCAGGGGGGCTGCGAGTGGACTATCAAAGAGACCTGTGGAGTGACGCCTGGCAGGCAGCGGCGGGCTTGGGGGCAGGAAAATAAGCCTGTTTCACGGCAAGCACACTCCCACTGGCCGGTAAACCTCGGAAGCCAGCTGGAGGTGGGTGGGTGGGTGGGGGGAGCTGGCCTGCTGATCACTCCTGCCTAGTCTCGGCCCTGGGCCCGGCCCTGTCAGGGCCCTGCCTTCAGCTGCTTTTGTTACAGCTTGAAAAAGGAAGGAGGGGGGCAGCAGCGGCCCTAACACACCCCCAACAGACGTGGGCCCGTGCCGACTGCCTGGCTTCTGGAATTGCTTTGAGGCCGCACCACTGGCCAGCAGCACGGCATGGGAGTACCCACACTTTCTAGCTAAGAGAAAATACTCAGATGCTCAAATCTGGGGTGCTCCCTGGAACAAAAAGTCCAACTTGTCCTGACAAGGGGCAGACCCACCCCGCTCCTGAATGGTGTGCTCGGGAGCAGGTCTCATTAAATAGTTGTTGTCCTCTACCCACTGGAGCCACAAGCGTCCAGCAGGCCCCGCCTCACGTGCTGGGCGTGCACTACAGTCACTGGGACAGCGAAGAGCGATCCTGACATGGTCCACATCTCAGGCATCATCTCTCCGACCCGCCACTCCTGTGCACGACCAAGGGTCAGAGACCACACAGTGAGCCGTCCTGGGGGGTCAGTGGGGCTGGGGAAGCTTCCGGATGAAGTCACATGGGCGGGGAGTAGAGGCTGTGGAGGGCTGCGGCTGGGTGCAGAGGGCAGAGCCAACCGGGGCTCCTGCCTGGGCTGTCCCCACCTGGTCCTCCTCCTTTAACAAGAAGGGATTCGGGAGCACCCTGCAGCCCCTGACGCCTTCCACTGCCTGGCCGACGGGAGCGGGCTCTCAGCCTGTGTCCGCACTGCGAGTGCCTTCAAGAAGGAAGCTGGCTGCTTGCTGCTGTGGGGCCGGAGGGCTGGACAAGGGCTTCAGGCTGGGTCTGTGCCTGGCCAGAGCTGTTTGGGAGGCCACCGCTCTGGTCAGACACGGCAGTCACCAAGAGATCTGGGGCCAGAAGGGGCAGCAGAGACCAGGCCGGCAGGCTGGGCGTTCTCAGGGCCCAAGACCCCCTGCACTGGGTCGAGGCTGGCCTCTGGCCAGCACATCAGCCCACAGCCTCCAGACACAGCCTCTGATTAAATAATTAAATTGATGGTATCGTGGTCAACACCATCCTCCCTGTCTCCAGCTCTGGCTGCCCGCCCTGATAAACACCCTTGTCCTGTCAGCAGGCCAGCCTGCCTCGGCCCCAGCACCAGAGCCCGGAGGGACCTGAGTGGCAGGGGCGCGGTGCGGGCGATGTTCATGGCCGCTCCCGGGCTGGGCACCCCCCACCCAAGGCTCCTGCGGGACCCGCTGCAGGGCCTGCTGACTGCACCAGCCTCTCTGCCTCTCTCAGCTTCATCTTCACAATCGGCCAGCCTCCGGGCAGTGGGCCGATGGTGCTGAGGAAGTCCTGTGACCCCCCACGGAAACACACTCTTCTGCTACCTGATCCTGGCGGCCGTCCCCCAAATCACCAAATTTCCCCAGGAAGTGTCTCCAGCAGAGGTCAGGCCCCCAAAGGGTGGCTGGGAGGAGCAAGACCACAAGACTTTTTGGAGAATGAGTTGGGGCAATATGGCCCCCATTCAGTCCTACTACTCTGAGGTTTCTCAAAAATGTCCCAGATCCTTCTTGGGAAAGTAGGATCGACACCTTTGGCTGAGCTGTGCTGGAGGAGCCCGTGGTGCAGCCTTTGGGTGTGGCCCTCAGTCAGCTCCGCTGAGGGGGGAGGTCAGCTGTGGGCGCTGCCCAGCCCCTGAGCCCCAGCCGCGGCCACCCCACCCGGCCCCCACCTGGTGGGAACCCTGAAAGGCAGTGCTGGTCGGGGAGGCTCCAAGCACGAGGGGGTCGTGCTGACCTTTGTCAGCGAGGCACAAAAGCCTTTTCTTTCCCAGTAGCTCTGCACCCTACTCTCGAAGAACCACCCTCTGGGACTTCCAGCCCCTGGAGATCCAGCCACCCCAGATGCCTCCGGGCTGGGGCTCCTCCCAGACAAAGCCGGATTCAGGCAGAGGTGCGAGGTTCTGCCATGGAGATGAACTTTGACCCAAACTGCAAGGCTCCTAGCCCGTATTTACTCTCTAAGGCTAGCCCGTTTCAGAGTTAACATTACACCCCTTTTTAACCCTGCACCTCCCTCTCACATTCCAGGCCCCAACCTTCGACCTCTCCTAATTGCCAGCTCTACACCCCAGTTCCCCGAGGCCTGGTGTGGCTCATCCCCTACCCTTAGTCACCTCCTCCCCGGAAAACAGAGCAGAGCTTAGCCAGGAGGACAGTCTGGCCATAGGCGCCACCTGAGGCCAGCAGCCGCACCTGGGCCCAGCACCCCAGGGCCTCCACAGGTGAGCTCTGAGGCAGGCTCCTGGGTGTGACCTCTGACCCCAGCTCTCCCACCCCAAGAAGGGGGTCTCCGCTCTCAGGGAGGCTGCAGCAGGCTGCCTGGCAGGCCCTGGAGGGCGGCGAGGGCTGGGGTAGGGAGAGTCCAACAGCTCCTCACCCTGGGCCGTGCCTCATCCCACAGCACTGGGGGCACACTCGAGATGCACTGCCTGCCTGATCACCAGGAGACAGGCATGGGGTAGGGGGTTAAGGGGGGGACCCTGTCCCTGCAGCCCCCCATCGGAACTGCAGAAGTCCAGCTCCTGTTTTCTCTGTGGGGCAGCGGAGCTGTTCCGAGTCAGGCACACTGTTACCCTCCCCAGACCCGATCGTGGTAACTCCGAAATCCGCATCACGGCAAACGGACCACATGACGCCCGTCGGGCTGCCAGGCCCTGAGAGCTCCATTCATTTATCTCTGGGAGGAACGACTTGGTCTCCTTGGAACCAGGAGTGGGGAAGTGGGGCCCACAGAGATGCTGAGAGCACTGGGTGAGGGGTGACTATAAGCCTGGGCCCCCCCCAGAGGCCCTGGCCCAGACTCCACCACCCCAGACTCCCAGGCCCCAGCTGTCTTGCGCAGCCTCTCCCCCAGCAGCCACCAAGCAACACTCACCGTCCTCTTGGCTGTGGAGGTTCTGCGGGCTCCGCATCCTCTCGTCCTGGCTGGGACTCAGGCTGGAGGCCAGGTGTGGGTCAGCTGACATCCATGTGGAGTCGTTCATATCAAAATCTTCACTGCTCACAGAAGTTTCATCCTGATCAGGGACAAAGAAGGTGGGGGTTCAGCAGGGATGGGCTCTCCACAGCCCCCTTATGGGGAAGCCTAGGACCTGCGGGCGTTTGGAAGTGCTCTGGAGACCACAGGGAGCCCCCAAACCCTGCAGAGGGGCTGGGTTGCTCCCCTGCCCCCCATGGCAGTGGCTCGGGCTCTGGTTCCTGTCGGAAGCCAGAGCGGAGGGCCAGCACTCTGTAATTGAAGACAATTACGAGGGCTCGCATCCTGTAGGGGCGGATGGCAGAGCCTGGCTCTTACCCTTGTGAGCCAAGGTTGAAACAGGCACTGTAAACAAGGGCCACGGCTCCCTGCTCCCTACCCAGCCCGGGGAAGAGGGCTCGCTGTGCGCAGGGCCAGGCAGCCAGAAGTGGGCAGCAGGACATGCCGGGCACCTCCGAGGCTGAGCCAATCACCACGCCGGGCCTGCCGCCCTGACTCCCATGGAGCATGCATGGAATTCCTTTCTCCCACTCCCCCAGCCCAGAGGACATTTCTGTCTTCCTTCTTCCTAACCTTTGCTGTGCTTCAAAGATATGCTCTTGGGCAGCTTCCAGGGCTGAAAAGGCCAGCCCCAGAAGTGTAGAGAAGGAAGGGGGTGGGGCAGGCGAGGGTTCAGATCAGACCGCAAAGGGGGTTCGGCTGGAGGGCCTGGGGGGCCGCCAGGGCCTTCCAAACAGCCGAAGGGCCTGCTGGAGAGGACCACGCCCGCCTCCTCTCCCCTCACTGGCTTCAGTGAGCCCTTGGCCAGTCATCCGGGAACCCCCAGGGCGGGGCCCCTTCAATCCAGCCTTCCAGTGGGAAAGGACCCCACCTCCTTCTGGCCCGGCCTCTTTCAGGAGCAGCAGGCAACTGTGTTTGGGAGCTGGCTGTAAAATGCGAGAACCATGACCCAGCAGCTCCCACACCCCAGGTCTCTCTGGCTTCGCCCCCTCCCCTGTCCCCTCCAGCAGCATACAATGGCCTCTGTGGGCCCCCAGTAGGGACTTCTGGCAGAGCACCCCCTCCTCCACCGAAGCCCCTCCCTCCAGGGCCTCCTCACAAACATCTCTTTTATAGTGAGCAAACACACTTTAGTTTGAACTTTCTGCTGCTGCTGTCCCTGAGGCAGACACATCTGCTGTCCAAGTGCTCGGGAACCGGCGTGGTTTAGCCTCCGCTCCCTCCCCCACCGCGCAGGGCTGGCAGGGAGTTTCCTGGAATTTACAGCTTCTGTGCGGCACCAGTGCGTGCCCTCTGTGTCTGAAGCCACTGGACTCGAGCCGGGCCAGGTCACCAGCTCTGCCCAGCTCATGGGTCCCCACACAGCACACTCCGAGTCTCAGGGGAGGGAGACCACGTGGTCTCCCATCCCCCCCCCCCCACATATACACATGCACTTACCCTGCCTCCCCCCACTGGCACCTTATACACGAGCACATCCACCCACACTTCTCCTTGGGTGAAAACACACTCACTCGTGTTCGCTCAGACAGTGTTCTCACGCCCGGAGGGACATGTGCACATTCAAAAGCTTTCTCTGGCCCTGACAGGTGTGGTTGGGCATCGTTCCACAAATGGAAGAGTTAAGGGTCGCCAAGGCGAGTAAGAGAGACAACCAACCTTCAATGTTTCTCTCCCTCTCTTCCCTTCTCTCTGAAAATAAATTTTTAAAACTCTTAAAAACAAAAAAAGCTCTCTCTGCACAAAGGGTCCAAAGGGACCACAGAACTCTCCCCTATGCTCCCTGGACAAAACCCGGGAGGAAGGAGGCTGGTAGGTGGGGGAGAAGGACCCTTGGCCGTGCAGCCCATCCGGGCTCTGCGAGCCAGGAGTCAGGACCTGGGGCCTCCCCGCGTGGGCCCATGCTCCTTCCTGGCTGCCCGAGGGACAGTGTGGCCAGGGAATGACCCGAAGTCATGGTAGAAGAAGGAAAGTCCTCTCCTGGCTCTGGGCATTGCTGAGACATCCACTATTTTTTAGAAGACTGGGTATTCTATTAACATCTGGAAGCACCACCTACTCAGAATGCTCCACCCATTCATTCAACAGTATTTACTGGATACCTACTACGTGCCAGCTCCTTTCCAGGTGCTGGGACAATCAGTGGTGGACAAGTCCTGGTCTTCCTGGTGCTCCCTGCCCAGTGGGGGAGCTGGACAGTTAGCAGGAAGCACACACCATGTTGGTGGGATGAGGGTACACAGCAAAACCAAGCCTCATAGGAGGAGAAAGGAACCTGCAGGACTGTTGGTGAGGTGGCCAAGGAGGCCCTCGAAGGTCAGGGAGCGTCCATCGTGCAGAGGCCCTCAGGGAGTGGGGACGGCCACTGTGTCTACATGCGGGCGCTCCGGGCCCCAGCACGAGCTGGTGGATTTGAGGGGCGGCCCCACAGGGGCGTCCCCTCCCAAAGCACACACAACCTCGGGCAGGGCTAGCTCCGGCTTGGAGACAGCCGTGCAGAGTGCTCCAGTAAACACACAGGGTTCCTTCTCACTGAGGAGCAGGAAAGAGTCGGAACTTGTAGGTGCAGCACCGGAGGCGCTCCCGCACTCTAGCCCTGCTCGGCCGAGTTTAAAACAGTAACAGCAAAAGCCAAAGTTTATCACGTGCCAAATGCCTCCCTCGGGCCCTCTCATTTCACCCTTCCTGCAGGCCGCCGGCCCCATTCTACAGATGAGAAAACTGAGGCTCCGCGGGGTTAAGGCACTCACCCAAGGTCAGGAGCTAACAAGTGGCACAGCTGGGTGCATACAACCCTGAAGGCCCAGACACACACTCCTTCCTGCCTCCAAGCCTCTGCTCGCCTGTCCCTCACACCTGGACCGCCCATCCTACTGTGGTGCTCCATGACCCAAATTCTAAACACACGCCACCTCTCGGCTGACTCCAGCTCCATCGCCACCGTTCCTCTTCTTACGCAGTCTGTCTGCCTGACCATCAGCCCCGGCGGTCAGTCGGGCCCACACCCTCAGTGGTGGCACGTCAGTACACCATGGGTCTCTGCCCTGTCTCTCTCCAGAAAACCTTAAGCCCTTTCAAGAGCGGGGACTAGGCTGTATGCTCCTGGAGCACCCCCCGCAAGGCCAGGGAGACTCCCCGAATTGGCTGAACTGCCTGGCATGATACTGGTGTTTAATGACAATGTACCATTAGTTTGAAAATTAAGAAGTCGGTCCCACTGTTCACAGTTTGTGAGTAGAGATCATATGAAACCTGGGCCCTGGCGAGCGGGCAGGCAGGCTGGACAGAGGCAGCAAGCTGCCTTGCAAGGTCTCCTTCCTACAGCAGATCACTTAACTGTGCACCAAAGGGATCCCCTCCCCCCCCACCCCCCACCCCCGTTCTCTGGCAGCTCAGACTGGGAAGAGGTGGGCTCAATTTTACATTGACATTGCAATCACCTAAAGATGAAGGGCAGCCAGTGCCCACACGCAAGGGGTTTTGGGGCAAGGGTCTTACGAGATTTCCTGGCAACAGCCTCCCTCCAAAAAGCAGGCACCCATGCCAGGCCTACCTCCAGACCTGGCACCTGCCCCAGCTGCCCAAGGGCTCCGTGGTCAGCGGCAGAGCTGGGATCCGAAGCCAGGCAGTCCACCCAGAGCCCACATCTCAGCGCCACCACACCACGAGCCGCCTCTCCACACTTCCTCCCCTCAGTTGGAAGAACCAGATTCCTTCACAACATGTCTCAGGATGACGCCCAAAGGGAACTCGTGGACAATAAAGCTCTATTTACACACACGCACCCACAGGCTCACTGTCTCATTCAGAGCCGACACACACTTACTGAGCATATACTACGTGCTGGTGTGGTGCCAGGGACGCGGATGACTAAGGCGGGCTCCTTTCCCCCAGAACCTTGTCGTCTAGGGAAAGAGAAGCGCAGAGAGAGAAGGGGCTGTGGACCGCGCCCAGCGCCCCCCACCCCCCAGCCATCTATGGACAATCTCACCCTCCCGAGCAAGTTTTCTCATGGACCCCAAGGTTTTGCCACACAGAGTCCCTATTTCGTAAGTGGCTGTTCTAAGATTTTGACACTATTGTTACAGCAACTTCTTTTAAGTGAGCAATCAAGTCCATTAAGAGTCAGTTCCAATCAGACTTAGTTTCCACACCTCTGCTTTCAAGGCTGACCTAGGAGGGCAGCCTTCCCAAGGCCCCTTTGCAACTCATCGGCTAGAGCAGAACCCCCGCTGCAGAGGGCAGGCAGTGACTTCACCCGCTTACACTAGCCAAGGCTCCAGAAGCAAGCTAATTACACAGGCAATTACCAGCACACACAGTTCAGAGCCACCAACCACTGTATAGAGGGGCAAAATACACCCAAGTCCAGAGGGACCTGTCGGAGGCGGGTGGTGCGGGTTTGGAAGTGGCAGGGCTGCAGGCCTGTGTGTACACCTAGGGTGCTCCCCACGCTTGCCCAGAGGTCATAAGTCATGAGTCAGGGACTTCTTGCTTTCCTCTCCTGGAATTTCATGGGAATTTGGTGTGCTAATTTCTCTTTCTGTTAACAAACTTTGGTGAAACTTTCATTTGAAAATGTGTGTACCATCCATTACTTCTGGGCCCCCTCTCTCCAGACCCCATGTGACTGGCTAGCTAGCTGCCCCTGACTCCTCTTACCTCTGCCCCCCGACACCCTGAAGCTTGCAGCCTTGCCCACGTTGTCGGTCAAGTCCACCATTTATTCGGCACCAAAGGGCCTGAGCCATTTGGGTCCACAGAGTGACAGAGCCAACTGCCCTCCTGAAAAGGGAACTCCAGAATGGGAGGGGACAGGCAGGCAGCAGCCAGCCAGCCCCCGGGACACACCCCGGCCTGGGCAGAAGGAGAGGAGCCTGCCCTGCTCTTATCTGCGGTCCAAAATTCATGGGCAGCTTCAGTTTCTCTCCACCCAGGTTCGGAGGCCCTTCCTCCTCTGCAAGCAAGCTAGCACCAACCACTGCCCGGCCCAGGAGGAGGAGAAAGCGGGAGAGCAGAGGGGAAATGGTGGAAGCGCGC